GTGTGTGTGTGTGTGTGTGTGTGTGTGTGTGTGTGTGTGTGTGTGTGTGTGTGTGTGTGTGTGTGTGAGAGAGAGAGAGAGAGAGAGAAAGATACTGAACTTTATCATTTGTGACATTTAGAAATGTCTGTATTTCTCAGGTATAGTTTTAAGCAACATGGAAAGAAACTTCACTTAATTAAAAATACAGTAGCTAATTTTCTCTTTCACTACCTCAGTTTTTGCTTTTGGAAAAGATATATGATATTCATTTCAAATTTGAGATAAAAATTCAAAAAAATCTTGAATTTACTTCTCAATTAATACTGAGCATTAAAATACTTACATGAACAGCACATTGAATGGAACTAGTGTATATAACCTCAGCTTTAGAACCACTGATAACTGCTGCTTTTAAACGTTGTTGGTTCATTAGTCGAGTCTAAAAGCATTGACAGAAAAAACTAGCTGAGAAAGATTATTAAGTAGTGCTCCAACATGATATGCAATTTCTAAACAATGCTTATTTATCTTTTATTACATTCATCATTTTTGTTTTTCAATTGATAAATTTTTACTGCAAAAGCAAGCTACATTTTTTGGCACAGCCATAATTTTATTAAAATTCTATCTTTAATTTTTCTAAAAAAGTAAATAAAAAGACTTGTGTTATATTATTTTAACAAATGTGTTTTATTTCTCTACAAAGAAGAATGTACTTACTCTAATGACATCAATGGGTGTAGAAGCTATAGCACCAGACATACCAGCAATAAAACTTGAGCTATACAGGAAAATATTTTAAGTTTGACACTATAGTTGTCTTCTATTTAAAATCTCAAAAATGTAAAAAATCAAGTAAAACAACAAAATCATTTAGTTGTATTTAATAATTTTAAGATACATATATTTCAAATTTAAAATTCTAATACTTGTAAACTGAAAATAAATATTTGTTTTATAAAGTAAAATAAAAAATATGATATGAAATGATAATCAGTTTGAAGCAACTACTTATTAGTATTGATGTTTGACTTACAGTAAACTATTAATGCAATGTTAGTATCTGTATTTATTTAAATTTTAGATTACCAACATCAAAATGGTTTGTGCCACTGTATTAATTATGAAAAGAAATTTAAAAGTTACAAAATTACATTTTCAAAAATGAGGTACACTTATGATTTAATTATATACACCTGGAAAAAA